TGGATGGATGGACGGACGGACGGACGGATGGATGGATGGATGGGTGGGTGACAAGATGGGTGGATGGATGTATGCACGCGTGCATTCATGGATGGATGGATGGATTGATGGATGGATGGACGGACGGACGGACGGATGGACGGATGAATAGATGGATGGATGGATAGATGGATAGATCGATCGATGAATGAAAGAATGAATTGTTGGAAAACAATGTTCACATTCACCACTCTCCTTGCACACATAAAAGCAGAGATCATCTGGTTCCTTCGGTACCGGGATGTTACGACAATTTAAGCACTGACGTCGGACATACGTTGAGTAATTGCGCCTGCATATTTCTACCCGATAGGTAACAGTACTCGCGTGTCGTCCCTCCTGAATCTATTTGCTGCAAACAAAGTCTAAAGACACACGATACGTTAATGACCACCTCGCGCGTCATGATCAGCTAGCAGCCAAACTATACGAAATTTGGTGATAGATAAATACCACAGCCACTTTACATCACACCTCTAAGGCCTTAACTGCCTACAGGTGCACTTTGTCCAGTAGCAACCAGTCAAATAATAAGCTCACACAAGGATGTTCGTTCGTCAATCCACCGTCGCGGCAAGCTACAGTACGGTAGCACATACGCTATGTAACTTTAGTTAGTTTTTCTGTGTGATGCTGATGGGTTAAACACACCTGACAGCACCTGTCACTTACGAAGCCTTTTCGCAAACAGCAGTATCACAAATTGAAATGGAATATAGGAGGATTTTAACGTGCGGGGAATAGTAATTTAGATCGCGATGTTTGGAACCATGGCAATTCTTGTATCTACTACTCTACCAGCTACGACGTACGCACTGGCAGTTCCAACAAATCAGTAAAAATAAAAATAATGTATAATAAATCTTACTGCACCACTAATAACTCTCCTATCTGCGGTAAACAACTCCTCACTGTAAAAGAAAAGCCTAACGTCGGCGCGAATGCTGACTCTCTCTGCACTACGCTGCGTAGTCCCCATACAAGTATATATAAATAATACATAATCCCCGGAATAGCGTTGCGCAATTTCCGACCATGCCTCCCGATGCTGCCGACATATTGCGGACAAATGGTCTATGCGAATGCGCGTCGCGCAGTCGTAATTGAAGCTGCTATCAAACAACGATAGGCACTTCAATCACTTGAACGGAAGGGTAAGTGTTGACCCTGTCCCGAAGCCAGTCATGAATCCAGGCAGGTCCGGGGGATACGGAATCTCGGGCTGCGCGACCAGCAACCAGCTGCATGCTATTCCCATTGACGTGGCCAAGCTTCACTTCGGGAGAAGTTGAAGTTCATCACGTATCAAACAAATTCTTGCTAGTGACGAATGTTTTAATTCCAAGATCATTCCGCACGCAAAAATGAAATGAGAATACATAACTGTACTCATTCAAGAAAAAGAGCATAGCTATAGACTCTAGTCTCCGTCTAGTGCATACAGCTTCTGCACATACAGACACAGACACAGACACACATGCGCGCGCACGCACACACGCATACGCATACACGCACACACGCATACGTATACACGCACGCAAAAATCCGCGCACAACGAGAGCGAAAACAGTGAAAACAAGTATCGTATAAGTGGGGACAACACGAAACACTGGATGGAAATTATTTTCGAAATACTGGCTTTAAAATGACATTAAAGCGAGAGAAAAAAAAGCACGCGGTTCGGCGCGCCCTGGTGAATGAATGATGGAGCGTCTGTCAATGTAGCTGCCACTGTTACATGTCGGTTGCCAAGTAAATGACGCACTCACTTGTGCGTCGCCACACGCGTATGCAAACCTCAAATCAATCGACTAGGCCTACCTGTCGCCTTCGCGCAACACTGTCTTTAGCTACTGACCGATGACGAATCTAGGCGAACTTTTGAATAATTTAATGAATCGCATAAATTTCATGAATCTTGTGTATTTTAAGGAGTATTTACCTGTTTCTGTTCCTGTGGGCTGCATTAAAATAGATAATACGGTGTACTACAGCTATAAAATGGAGATGGCACGATGGGGAGAGAAAAAAGAGAACGAACGGAGATATATAGGGTAGAGAAAGAGAGAGAAGAAGAGAGAGCGAGCGAAATTAAGCGAGCGAGAGAGATAAAGGGATAAGATCGATAAAGGTAGATGACGTGAGAGAGAGAGAGAGAGAGAGAGAGAG